TTACTAAGCCAGTAGGATTTAGAAAGATTTAAACAGCATGAAAATCCACCCTGCACTGACCTAGAAAATAACTCAGAGATAGAACATCTGTTGTGTCTTTGTAAAAATAACACTCATAATAAAAACCACCATATAGGATGTGCTACCCCTAAAAGGCAACCCCAAAAGTTAAACCATAGAAATTATCTATAAAAAAGGGGATGATGATGATAGTGCCTGAGTTTTTCACACTAAGCCATGATTTACTTAACCATGCATTGCTGAATAAGCTACAATTTATTCATACATCACAGAAAGATGGGACAGAATTGTTTATATGGATAAATGATCCCTGGTTTATGAATCAGGGTTGATCATTTCATATAACATACTAAAATAGGGCTACAAGATCTAGGCTGCAAAACTTGGAATGACTAGTTGGCTGTGGTCATTCCAAGTGTGGTAGCCCAAACTAAGCCAAAAACCAGACTAACCATATTATAGCTTAACACAATGGGTAGATCCAACTGGTATGACTTTTTCAATCTCTTAAACAGTCATGGTTACCATTCTTAGGTACAAATTCATTATTATCTGTAGAAATGGTCCTGAGCTAGGAACCATGTATGAGAAGCAACATGTGATGTAGCTGTAGAAGAGAATTCAAGTATTAATCAAATACCAAGATTGCTGCTCCTCATAAAAGCCCTAACATCTGGGGTTAATGATAAATACTCCAGCAAATTTACCTGTGGCTAAAAGTCATTGGCATCACCCGTCTCTTAGCCAACTGTGTGGAGGAATCTCATCAAAGCATGTAGTCTCTAGAGCAGTGTTTCTCAACCTTGGCAACTTTTAAGATGTGTGGACTTCAACTCCCATGCTGGCTGGGGAATTCTGGGAGTTGAAGTCCACACATCTTAAAAGTTGCCAAGGTTGAGAAACACTGCTCTAGGGGACACTTGACCTCCTTATAACTAGATGAAGTACAATAGTTTCTTAGAACTTGCTAGACAGACAACACAATTTAGCTTCCTGGCTGGTGTGCACACTCCAGGACAGAAATTAATCTTTGCTGTAAAGGCCATTCAGATCAAATGGCTCCACTCCTAGGCAGGTGTGTGAAACCAAGAACTTCTCACCACAAATACTCAATGAGGAACCAAGTGGCCTGTAACCCACTGTATTCCATCTCATCTTTGCAAACAGTGAGACCACAGGCCCAAGCTGCCAGTTTGCCTTTATTTGTTAATTGGTTTGTTTTAAGCCATTTAGTACAAGAATCCCAGAAAAAAAGGGAAGTCAATTTATATCCAAAAAGAAGAAATGCAGCACATCAGAGGAAACAAGGAAACATGGGCTGTTAAAGACACAGGCACATATAGACAGACCAGTAGGGCAGTGATTGCTTCAGAGCATTGGAGAACATGGGACTGTCATGTCATCTCCTTCCCTTTCGAAGTACTGCCTCTCATGGGAGGTATATTACAAAGGAAACAATAGGAAGCAATTTCTTGGTGTCTTACAGCCATGGCTGGCCCACATGCAGCAGAATAAGGTGGCTGGAAGCCAAGGTGTGCAAGGAGGAACTGTAGTCACTTCAGCTACAGCTGCAAATATTTTTTAGTCCTCCTGCATAAATTGCAGATGGAAAACAAGTGTGGTTAAGGAGAAAGCTTTGCAATTTGTCATGTAAGGGAGGACTCAAAAGTGTGATAGGCTGCAAGGATAGCCCGTTCTTATATCTCAGAACTCTACCGCCCAATTTCGTTGGATGTGTAGAGATAGAGCTAACCTGCCAGGGAACAAAATGATTAGCATGAAACCAATTCTGTTCAGACTCCCAGGTCACTATGCATTATACTCAAAAGCGTTAAAGATCCTCCCTTAAGCTTCATCTATGCCCAAAATCCAGTTGCACATAATGTCGGAACTGCAATATGTACCTTAATCTCTGGTAAAGTAAGTATTGATAGGACTATTCTGTAACTCTCCAAAATTTGGTGATATTCAGGTGGAAATAGTCACTGCCCAGCCAAGTGCTAGAAATACATGAAATTCAATGAAAAGTGCTTGGCTATCATTTCAGTATGCCCATAATCATTACCCCGTGTTAGAAGCCTGTAGAAACTTACATCTATTTTCAAGTAATTTCAAGGTTCGTTTAGCACGGCCAGCATCTGGGTGCTCTCCAGATCTTGGACATTCAATGTTACCTATAAGTAACAAATCTACAGTTAACCACTCCCAAGGTTGTTCTATATCCCCAGTCTGACATAACCAATGCCATGGATTAAGGTCCAACATTATGTTCTTCGTGGATCATTAAGCACACTTTTTTCCCCAATGTGCCCCCATGTCTTTGCAAAACCACAGGAGAAACAGCTTCCAATGTTTCAGTTCCTAGAAAAACAAGGAATGTAAGCTATTAAGAATGCGGGACAATTTGGAGGTTTTTTACCATAGCGGTAGCTTTTTTTTAAAAAAAAGTGGCAAAGTTAGTGCAATTTCTGTGGTAAAACCAAACGTTGAACCAATCGGTATTACGAGAGAGAAGGGAATCAATTCTGGTTCTGAAACTCTTAGCGCGGGTCAAGACGTTCTACGCCGAAAGCCGTATCAGAGGACCTGGAGATTTCTGAGTCAATTGCATATCCTTCTTGTGTACAGATGAATAATGTTTTCGCTAAGGTGGGCAATGCCTGGAGTGAGATGATCTAGATCTTGCCACGCAAGAGTGCCAGCCAGCTGGGGTGGCCAAGATCCAAGTATGGTTACTCCCAAACTCTTGAGGAATTCAGCCCCATCCCAAAAAAGATCCCACGGGAGGCTTCAAAATAATGCGGTTAAGGCTGTAGTCCTTATGTGCACAAATTCAGGCATCAGTCTTGCGTTACTCTGTGGGGCTGAGTTCCAAGCATGCATGCACAGGAGCAGGCTGTTGAAGAGGGGCACAGTTTCAAGCAGGGTGAAATCCCCCTGATCTTACGGGAGGAGAGTTAAAACTTGTGCTTAGCTCTCTCTGAAAGTGATAGGATCCCAAAGTGCTTGAAGGTGTTTGGATTGCATTCAGGAAAAACTTTTTTTTTCCTTCTCAGGGATGCAGGTGAATTACTATTGTTGCTTATTTTACTTGCTCCCCCCCTTTTTTTAAAAAAAGAAAAGAAATCTGACAATATTTGAAAAGGAGCCTAGAGGCCACTTGAAAAGTGCTTTGGGGAGGGGATGCTGTGGGGAGGAAACTGCTTCTTGCCCTAGTCTCAATCTATGGATGGTTCCCAACAACTGCTCAAGAGGAATAAGGCATAAATTCCTCTCCCTTCTTCCCACCCCACATATCTAAAATACTGTCTATGGAATATATACAAACACTTTCACAGACACACGTGCACATGTGTGCACACACACGCCCCAACTCCAGACATGAATGCACATGTCAAATAGACATGGACACTCCTCTCAAGCACATATAATCCTGCTGCTTGTGTGTGTGTCTGTGAAAGTGGTACACAGACCCCTCCTATGCTGGGCACAGATGCATCTTTCCTCTATCCTTCTGTAAAACACACATACACACACATACACACACAGAGATCCTCAAATCCTAAATAAATATAGAAATGCATGAGACCAATTTTCTCCGAACATGCTTCCCCTAAATTTTCTCGACATGCCAGTCTGCCTAGCTGCAAACACACAAAGGAGGTTGCAAGGGTGCCTGGAGTTACTCGTGGCATCATACATTTCCTTTGACATACATGGAACACCCCAGAGGATGGCTTTCTTCCAGGAATTGTTAATATTTTAATTGGGTTAAAAGGATGCTTACAGATTAGAACTATTTTGGTTTGAATATTGGAAGAAAAGAAGAGCAAGGGCCAGGCCGTTAATCCCACTCTCCCCTCCGAAGCCTGCAATCTCACCCAGTGGTAAGGAAAGCATGGCCAACAGTGCCCCTCTGTGTCAGTTCAGCGCATGACATGAGCACGGTTAGCAGCACTGGCTGGATTCCAGACATCCTATTGTGATTCACATTGCCAAAGCAGACGAGATGATGTAATCCAGAAGGAATCAGCCGCAGTCATCCCATTTGAACCAAACACTCTCCTCTGAGGTTAGAAATCCATTGTTGGAGAGATGGCAAGGTGGAAAAAAGCAACGTGGAACGTAACACAAACAGGAGGTTCGACACACCATGCAATGGGCAGAGCCATTAAGGTGCCCCAAAGGCTGAAATGATGCAATCTAATGTTCTTCTGTGATGTCATGCTGATTTTCTGGAGAGAGACATCCTGCAGGAGTAGGAGCTGCCTTGAAAGATTCGTGTGCTCTCCAAACCATAGAGAAGTCCTCCAAACGAGGCAGGCACAACGGCCAACGAGGGAGCCAAAGATGTGACATCACAGTAACCTAGTGTGATCTATCCTTCCAAGGTATTTATTTTTTCACAGCAATCAGTACAATATAATTCCATGAATACTGGCAAGGAAGAGAGAACCGAAACCCGGAGCCCAGCCCCGAGAATCCAAAGTGTGCATCTGGTCACCGTCTCAGCAGTAGCTATGTGTCTGGCCCTCAGCATACACTGTCCAACTGGGCCCCAGGTAGCCCCCAGACGAAGACCCCTCTCTCCTCTCCACGTTGCCGTACTGCGGGGAAGATTCATCCAGCTTCTGCAAAGGTGCTGAGGTCTGGCTCCCCAAGCGGGTGGCGGGCCCATCGTAGGTGATGATGGGTTCTGGACCGTAAGGGGGATGACCCCAACAGGCAGAGGGTGGACGGTAGAACTGCCACACGGCACGACTGCAGGGCAAAACATCCATCAGTTGGCGGTATTGCCCTGAGGGTGCATAGCCCCAACCAAGCTTCTGCTTCTGAGGCAAGGGAGGTCTGCTGGGTTGGGACAAAGCTTGAGTAGCCCCAGGGTCAGAATGACTGCGGGGGTGTGCTGCTTCCGGTGGAGGGGAGGGCGTGGGGCTGACCAAAGGGGGTTCAGGGAAGGGCACATTGACGTAGATGGGTTCCTGTCGGGTTACTGCTGGAGACATAGACTGGATCTGCAGCTGGGAATTTTTTAAGATAGGCTGAAGAGAGGAGGGGGCTGGGGGCAGCTGGGGCTGGCGCCAGGGCCTCCCAAATATCCCATAGGAGGCATTGAAAGTGGCCAAGTACTCAGGGGGGGGACAAGATGGCCACGGGCGTGCCAGACCAGGATAGGCAGGAGGCTCCCCCACAATCTCATAATAGAGATTCTCATGCTCCAGCTGAGAAGGGGGGCTCCCACTGATGCCCCCTCGAGGGGGGAAGTGGCCGTGATGCCGGAGAGGATGGTCCGGGAGGCAGGGCTGGAAAGAAGAGGGCCTCGTTTTGAGGGGCAAGTGACCGGCAGTTATGGGGAAGTGGGGAGGAGGCGGAGGCTTGGGCGGGGCAGCTGACAGGCCGGACGAAGGAAAGGCCTCTTGAGGCTGGCGGAAAGCAGGGTAGGGGACTGACAGGGGCGGCGGCGGGGGATGCAAACTGTAGGCAGGAGACGGGGAGGACAGGTGGTAGGGATCCGAGAAGGAAAGAGGCTGAGGGTCTCTCTGGCCTAGGTCAGCGAGGACCCTCCGGTAAGGGGAAAAGGAATCCGAGCTACCCAAGGGAGAAGCCTGGCTGAGAGGCACCTGCAGGAGAGACAAGGCAAACTGCATGAGCAGCCGGAACGCACTTTACGCAGACACCCCCGCCCAACCCCGGGCCCTTCCTTCACCCCCTCCCTGCTTCCGCTGCCTGCTCCATCCCCCCTTTCCTTCTGAAGCCAAAATCCCCATCAGGTTTGCCAGAAAAACCAGCACGGGCTTCCTCTTGATCATGAGGAAGATCAAGGCAAGTTTGGGCTACGTAACGCCCTCTCTCTCGGCCCAGATCTCAACGCAGCAGGAAAAATGCAGCGAGGAATAACCAGAAAAGATCCTTCTAGAAACGTTCCAAAATCTGCACCCTTCCTAACGGCAAGGTCGGCCCAGCTCTGTCCCAGCCCTTCGTGAGCAGATCCCTCACCTGGTTTCCTCCCTGGAGGTTGCGGCACTGGCTGCCGATGCTCCTGCCCCTGGCCTGTGCCTGGAGCGAGGAGAGGCCAGAGGCCTTGGGGCTCGGGCGCACCATGGAGTAGAGCGCCTGTGCTCCGCTCGCCAGCTCCCCTGCCTTGCACTCCAGCGATAGAGAGCGCCGGAAATGCGTCCGGGGTTCCCTCTGCTTCAGGCTGGCCTGTCGTTTTTGCTGCAAGGCTGCCTGATGAGCGCTCTCAGCTAGCGCCAGCGCCATCAGGCGAGCCGGATTCTTGGGTGGAGGAGGTGGAGGGATATGCCGCAGCACGGACAATGCACCGGGAGATGTGGGAGCGGCTTCAGACTTCGGACCTGAATTAGGAGAAGAAAGAGGACACAATCAGGACCGGTTCTTGCATTAGGAAAAGGGGCACCAGCTTTGCAGGAAGGAGGACACGACGCAAGCAAGTTTTTCACTTAATCTGGGCTGGAATGCTTGAACCTTCATCAGAGTTGGGGAAACGATGGCCCTCCAGATGTCGCATTCCCAGCACCCCTCGCCCACAGACTGCTTCCTGTTGCAGTTCCGCAACATCTTGAGGCCACAGCCCCCCATCCCCGCCCAACCCCACAGGGCATCACACAAACAGCAGGACTAGAATTTGGGGAGGTATTGATTGTAGGGAAGAAGGGGGTTTTGTTGTGTGTTAATCCCCAAAGATGCTTTTTTCACTGATAACTTGTAGGAAATGTTGGCAATACAATCTCTGGAGCTCTGCGGACAGGAAACAAACATTTTGGGACCTGCAGTTTGCCTATAGGTGGAAGTTATGTTTATTCTACCCACTGTGTATGTTAAACGTAGCAACGATGATGGTAATCATCACAAACAGCAGCAAAAAGTACTTACTGGGTGGAGACACGCGACCTTTGGCTTGTGTAATCTTGCCACGGACTTCGCGTTCACAAGTGTTGCTGAGCTGTCCACCAGCTGCACTCAGGAGCATGGAGATCATATGCGGAGGGGAGGCATGCATGCTTAGCCCTCTGGCCTCCCCACCAGCAAACATTTCCAGCACCTTGTCAGGCAAGGAGACAGGCAACGGCTCTGATGTATCTTTGCTAATGTTGGGATGCGAGCAGGGCGAGAGAGCTGCAACAGGACTCGGTGAGCTGGAGTCATCTGAGAGCGAAGGCTGCTGCACAGGATGGCTACACTGGTAAGTTAATGGGTCAAAGTCCAGCCCACGAAGTCCAGGAGGACTTAATTCCAACTCTGAGTCCAGCTCTGAGTCACCTTCCAGCCAAGAGGAACGCCGACGGGAAGCCACATCATCTGTCCCAGTGGCCAAGCCTTCACCGTGGCCAGACACAGAAGACCCCAGAGAGGAACATGAGTGGCACTGTTTGAGGGCCGGGAAAGCATCACTGCTGGAATGTGGACGTCTCAAGCAAGGCAATTTGGGGAGACCTAGGGCAAAGACCCAAAAAGAAAGAAACTACATGGATCAAAGCTCTCCAGTCCTTTTACTCAACAGGCTACATGTCCAGGAGTAAGAAAGAAGCAGAAGTCAACACTGTGAAGAGTAATATTTCTGTCTCTGAAGAACGGGTTGCTTGCATACCAACTGCATGGACCCAGATCATGGTAGAAAGCAGTCAATGCTTAGCAGATTCTTGTCGAACTACAGAAGATTCAGAAGAAAATGGTGGCATTCCCACTGCAGGAGTTATAACTCAATGGTAAAGAACATCCTTCACATTCAGAGGGTCTTAAGTTTAATGCCTAGCATGATCAGGTAGCAGGTGATGAAAAAGCCTTCCCCAGAACCTGGAGAGCAGCCGCCATTCAGATCAGAAAATGATCAGCCACTGATTTTGACAGCAGGTGAAAGTTCTGGGACTACCACAGACAAAATGCTCCTAACAGTTGGCTTCCTACACATCTGGTTTAATGCCAAACCCAGGAACTGAGAGCAATGAAAAACTGTCATACGGATCAATATTCACACTGCTTGCCTGTCAAGCAGGAGGATAGATACAGCTCTTCATTTGGAAAGGCTGCAGTCGTTCTAATGAAAGCTTTCTCAGCCTTGGCAAGTTCCAGCTAACTGGACATCAACTCCTGAAGTTGTCAGCAATGACCTTGCTGGCTGTGAAATGTTGGGAATTGAAGTCTACTTATCTGGAAGTTGCCACACTTGGGAAACAGTGCTTTAAAGCAACGTTTTGTGAGGGTCACTCTAGGTTCACGCAATCCATTTTGATAGAGAAAAATCATGTAGATTCAGCACACGAGGTGGCCATTACCTGTTAGACTGGCCTGAGATGTTAGAGATTCTTCACTCTTGGCTGATCGCAAGGTGACCGTCTCACCCTGACTCCCTATAGAAAGAGAGGGCAAAGGAGCAGATGGTCATTATTCCTCTAAAAAAGGATACAAGTTTGCAATCTCTCCTTGACTTCTTGTCCATGGAACTCTAATCTTTCCCACTTAACATATGGAAAAAGATAATGGGATATATGCCAAATCTGGTTCCATCCCATTCTGTTCACATCAGAACTATGCCATAATAACACAACATGTAAAACCCATAGGTTAACAAAACACAAATGCTATATTCATATAATGTGCCATGTCCAAACAAATAAACCTTCTTAGGGCTTAAAGTGGTGGTCTGTTCCACACACCAAGGTAAAAAAAAACTGGCCAAGTTTCCATAACACGCTGAACCGCAAACAAGCCAACCCCGTTTTAGCCTTGCTGAGTCTAGCACATTGTGAAATCCTGGCACTGAGTATCTGTGGTTCTGGGTCCTTCGAGAAAAAAGAAAAGCAGAAGTTTAGCCAAAGGGCAAAAAACCTGTGATCTTCCGCCAGTTGCTTAACTACAGCTCCTAGTATTCCTGACCGTTAGTCACTGGCAGGGATGGTGGGAGTTGCAGTTCAGCAACATTTAGCAGGCCATAATTTCCCATATTTGTTCCAGCTCATGAGAAGCTTGGAAATAGGTATGTGCTTGTGATGACACACAGGTTAGGAGTGATAAAAATGGCGCACAGAGCAGTTTTCTTACCTGGTAAAGATTCTCCAAGCCCAAAAAGCTCTCCCAATCTATGTGATTTTTTGCGGAATGGGACCGGTGCCTTGCCAATGGCAAAGAAAGTCTTCCAACTAGCTCCTGATATCTTCCGCAGCCTCCCATTGTTTTCTGTCTTTTGCCTGCAGAGTGAGAGGTCATCTCAGAGCAATCAGCGCCAAGCAACAGCTCAGTCCTATTCCAGATCAGATTCAGCAACTGAGGTTGACTGCTAATTCTCAAAAGGGGCTATAGTTTTTCACTGTGTTTCTTAGTGAGGAAGGAAGGAAGGAATCCCCACATAGCAGGTATTGCAAATTCACTGCATATAACAATCTGATAATGGTCTTTCATGAAAACATGAGAACTGTGTCCCTAAATCACCATACTCTTTCAACAGCAAGTATTGATAAGTAACTAGCTGTCATTAGTTCCCAGCACCTAGTTTCTAGAGGTTCGGCACCTCGGTCCATGGGCACAGCAATTACCTAGTGTTAGGTGATCCCAAGACAGCAGAGATCTTCCCTTGCTCCTGTGGATCCGGGGATTCACGTCTGGCTTCTAGCTTGGTGATCTTGCAGAGGGCCTGGGTGCGTGCTTGTGCTTCTTCAAGGGAGAGCAAGCGGGTGGAAGGGCAGCTGACCAACTGGGATTTGGGTCGAGGAAGGAAGCAACACCCTGTTCGAGGAGATAAGTTGAAGTAAGGTGATGTAAAAATCATGGTGTTCCATCCAATTAGAATTGGGCTCAAGTCCAAAAAGAAACATCACACAATGCTTAGTTATTTCAGAGGCAGACTCACATAAGTATAATAAAACAAAGATTATTTTTAAAAAACAGAAAGAGATCAATATGTGGTGATTACAAATCCCTGGAGCTAGAGAATTCCTAGGAAAACTGGTCTCAGAAATGGCCAGGCTAACACCTCCTCCTCTTCCTCCTCCTCATTATTTATGGTTGGTCACACAGTCAGACAGATGTTTAGACTGGATTTAGCATTTTTATCTACCTATCAAGTCCTTCCAAGGACCTGGGTAAGACAGATTTGTTATCATCATCATCATCATTATCATCGTTGTTGTCGTCATCATCATCATCTAACTAAACATATCCAGAGAGAGTCAGTTTGGTGTAGTGGTTAAGGCATCAGGCTAGAAACCAAGCGACTGTGAGTTTCTAGTCCCACCTTAGGCACAAAGCTGGCTGGGTGACCTTGGGCCAGTCACTTTCTCTCAGCCCTAGGAAGCAGGCAATGGCAAACCACTTCTGAAAAACCTTGCCAAGAAAACTGCAAGGACTAGTCTAGGCAGTTGCCAGGAGTCAGAAACGTGACTCAGAGGCACAAAAAAGCCCAAAGAATCCAGGTTCAAATAAAGATCTCTATTCTCTTTATTCTAACTGGACATTTGAGGAAAGGGGGGGGGGCTTAGAAACAGGGCTTTTTGTCTAAGAAGGAAAACTGGATTAAATCACCTTCCTCTTTCCTATCCCTTCCAGATAGATAGGGATACGAAATGAAGCCATGCTGCTCTTATAATCGAGAGTCACTGGAACTGGAGCTTCTCTCCCTAGAACTTCTGGGACACGTACTGTGCAGAAGCCACCAAGGGGTTACTAAAAGATTTCTAAGCAACCTGGCAAATATGAGCCATTTGCTGAGGTACCTGTGATGTCCTTGCCAATGGAGGTGAAAGTGTCGCTGAAGAGAACCTGAACGTTGCTGAGGAGGAATTCGACCACGAGGGACTGAACTCGGACTTCCTGAAAGGCATCGGCTCCGCACTGCGCAACTGACTCCAGAGCCATCGATCTGGTATAAAAAGGGGGAGGGGATGATCAGCCCCATCAGACAATAGAAAGGCCTGTGTGGGAAGAGCATGATGCTTGAGGCCCAGGAAGCCGTGTTTATGGCATAAATGGGGCACCACACAGCCCCAGGACAGCAGGAAGGGCAGCCCAAATCCAAAAGGCATCATGATTGAAGACCCTCATGAGTGCAGATGGAGCAGTACACCATGGGGGATTATGGGAAAATCATGAGGTGGCGGCATTATGGGTAAATGATGGGGCAGAATAAGGCAGGCAGACGGGCAAGATGAAATGCTAGTAAAAGCCAAAGGAGCATTTCAGATTGGTTAGGGCAGAGACAGACAACCTTTTGGTTGGCAGGGGAGGAGCAGGGGACTAGATGTTACAGGGGATGGGGCAATGATATAACGTGGCTAGGACCACACTACAGAAATCAGTGGAACCAAGGTTTTCTGAAACAGTTTTCCTGAAGCATTTTGGGATCCTGTTTTTTTTTTAACTACCACAAGCCTATTGGAAAAGTATAAATCGAACAAATTTGAAAAATGGCAGGAAACCACTCAGCTGATTTTGAACCATCCTGATGCAGGACAGGGCCAAAGTAGTTCTGAAGCCTGCCAAAAGGTCTACTACAGAATGGCTGCTGGCAAAATCCCAGCGGGGGCCAAGCCCCACCACCATTCCTTCAAGTCAGATGGTGGGAAAGAAGAGAAATCCAAGTGATGCTCAAGAGTTATGGCTTCTTCTCCCCGGGAGAAAGGCTGAGCTACATGACTTGGGGCACGGGCGGCAAGGTTAGCATAGGGAAGAATGCCTGGTCACTTAAAAAATATTTGGAGAACAGCGCAGAGGCAAGTGGAGATGGTGCAAGGCAGAGTTGCAGAGAGAGCACCAATGCAGGGCCATTGGTCTGGGCGTCTCACCGCAGCAGGTTGGGTGCCCAAACGATGGCTAAGTTGCGGATATGCATGCTGGTGTTTTGACTGTGCATAGCCATGCGTGCCAGATGCCGCAGCAGGAATTCCAGGGTCCTGTTGGGATAGAGCAGAAGCTGCTACAGATAGAGTCTGCTTCAACACATTACGCCTTCTTCCCTTTCAGAGACTTCTCCCCATCCGACCTCCCCAACCATTTTATTCCGTTCTCTTGGCATCTATCCACTTCCCCAACCATGCCTACCGATAGTGTGGTGGGGGTAATTGCTGGATAACATCATGCACCCGTACTAAGCGGTCTTCGTTGCCAGAAACTGATACAGCCTCCTATAAGAAGGGGAGGAAAAAAGAAGAAGAGAATGGAGGTTAGCAGAGCAACCAAGTCACAAGTGAAACATGCCAATGTCAGCATACTTATAGGCTCTTTTTATTTCTGCTATTTTTATATTGTCTTTCATCACATTCAGATTTGTAGCTGGGATACAGTCGACCTCATAATAATGTGCAAACAACAAATTTAAGGATAAGGGAAGAAAGGCAGAAGGATTGTATACATTTGGAACAGTACCTTCCAATGACCGTGCTCATGGATGATTATGGGAGCTGACATTTAATATATCTGGAAGGTATTAAATTGGAGATAGTCATTTTAATCTGTCCCTGGAAGGCTTACATGCCATATTTAGGTTCCTACAAGGGAAATTCAAAGCCAGTTGTGGGGAAAACCTGTAATCACTTAGAAAGAAGGGTTTAGCAGATAATCTTTAGATCCAAGCAAGCTTTATACTCCATCCAGACTGGATCTTAGGCATGGAGACTCAGGTCTGAAAAATGAAATTGTTAATTGCATTGCCAATGATCCCGAGGCCAAGAAGTACCACTCACAATTGCATCTAGTTTTCACCTAGTTTACTTTCTGTCTAGAACAATGTTTTTCAACCTTGGCAACTTCAAGATGTGTGGACTTCAATTCCCCCAGCATGCTGGCTGGAAAATTCTAGGAACTGAAGTCCACTTAAAGTTGCCAATGTTGAGAAATACTGGTCTAGAATACATTTCACTTTCTGCCTTTCTTCTACCATGAAGAAAATAATGGGGATGTCATTCCATATATCTGGAAGGCACCAGGTTGGGGAAGATGAACTTCAGCGTTATGTATGAACTGGAAAGATAAAGCAGCAAATATTAATTCAAGATGCACCAGCAGACTTTCCTGATCATGAATCAGAATTCTTCGGAATCCTAGCTTATTGCTGATTGTGAATGCCAACCGTTTTTCTTTGGAAAACCCATCAGAAATATATAAGCTACATAAACCCCACACAGAATTTTTCTCTTTAAGTTTTTCTCCATGAAACAACTATCCAAAACTGCATCAGTGTGCAAAAAAATCCCAAAAAACAGTAACTTCAGAAAAGCAGAAAAGAGGGTAAGAAACTCACTGGAATGTTAGAAAGAGGAAGGAGGGGGATTAAAGATCACAGTAAAGACTAAATGTGATGAATCTATTGTGCGTTCTTCGCCTTTGAATCGAGTCCACAGATGGCACTCCGTATAGTACCAAAGTTCATCTGAAGTTCTGACATGCTCATCTTTGCCCCACACTTTCTGCCCAAGTCTGACCAAGGGGACTGAGACAGCAGAGAGTGTATACCTATATACTGTATACCTATAGAAATGTTTCTTTTAGCAGAGCTGACAAGAGTGCAGATAAATGGCTGGAAAGAGCATCCAAAGAGCCTCAGAGCAGCAGCGTGAAGGAAGGAAAGGCAAGATAAAAATCTAATAATAATAATAATACTAATAATGGGACGGAAGTGTATAAGGCAAGTAAGGTTGTGAGAAGACCACCAGTGTTAATCTTGCACGCCGCCCCTCATGGATTCACAACCAGCTACGTTGTTCGCAACCATTTTAGTCTTTTAAGTCGCACGCTAGTTCAGACCAATTTGGAGATGACACATGTGAACCAAGGGCCACCACTGCCTGCAGCATATACAGACTTTCCCAAAGAATAAAGTAGGACTCAGCTTCTTCTCTTAGAATTCAAAAGTAGTTACAGCCAAACTAAGTTAATCACCCTTCAACCCTGCTGCTTTCCATAGGACTAAAATGACTAATTACTGTACTATCTTGTCCTGTTGACTTCAATGGGATGAAAGCTTGATTGTCAACAGCAGGTGGCAGTATTTAGCCAACCATGATTGATCCCCCAAAGCTAAGCAAAGCTGGAATTGGTATATAATTGGGTGGAAGACTACCAGAAAATACCAAGATTAAAACCTAGGTGGGGAAGTCAAAAACTATCCAGAAGAAAAAAATGGCAACCCTTTTCTAACTTTAACTACAATTAAAGAAACCAATATGGACGTGTCCATGGACTCACCAGGTATTGAACCAAACTCAAAGGAGTCTTCACTTTTCCCTAAAGCCTGACTAAGTTTCTTACAGCCTATAGCTTCCAGCTGCTATGTTTAATGGAGCTATGAAGGGGAAAACACATTTCTACAATAAAGGGCAAGAGATTATAACATTTGCTTTGCTTTAATTAAAGTGAAAGTTCAGAAAAGGGGTCTGAAACACCCAGGGAAGTGGGGTGGTCAAATCCCTCTCAAGGTTAGGACTATCCCTGAGCAACAAACTGAAGTTCTGGGTTTGGCAAGACTGCCTCTTTCTTGTGAATAAGAAATACCACCAAGGCAAATGAAAAACAGTTCAAAGAGAATGGAAAAGAATGGGAGGAAGAAAGAAAAAGAGGAGGGGAATTGGAGTTAACTCAGCTTAAAATAGCACCACACAAAGAGCAGGTAATACAAAGGAATAATAGAGCAGGAGAAATTGCTTATTATGTAGGCAGCACAACTGTTGGCGGGCAGTGTAATTGTACTCCGCTCTTCCACCTCCTCCCTCTCCCTCCCTTTGTTCTACAGCTCCCACTTCCACTGTTCTACCTAAGAAGGGCGTTGCAGCTCAGAGGCAGTCGAGTAGTGGTGCCAGCTCTCTCTTCACCATTTGAATCTCCAGTAGATGCAGACTCGAGTCACTAGGTGAGCAAAAATGACTGGGTCCATAAAATAGGTACCCAAACTCACATGAGTAGATGAGTGTTATTATTAACGATGGCTGCTGTGGGTCTTCCGGGCTGTGTGGCGTGTTCTGGAAGTTTTGTTTCCTAACGTTTCGCCAGCATCACCAGATGCTGGT